AACTCTCCGAAGGTTTGATCACTTTCTATGGCTTCAATATTCTTTGGTATATCACGTTCTTGAGATTCCATTGTGTATCGGTCTGCTTATTAAATCTCAAATACATTCTCATTATTACAGTATCACAATCACATTGCTCTTGCATCCCCATTTGCTGTCTATGGCAATTCTCATTTACTTACTTTCCTTACACTCTTATTTAGAATTACTTTGGAACATTGTTTTCTACCCTTGATACATTATAAATGAATGTGGAAGTGTGTTTTGGTGTATTTTATGCATTTGGACAACACTGAATGGAATTTATCAAATCTGGCATGATGGCATTGGGCCTCCAAGAGGCAAAGGCTATAAGCAGTTATGCTGACCAAACCACACACTAGAAAGTGAAGAGACGACGACGTTTTGGTTCGTCCTGGACCATTCTCAAGTCGATTGTGAGAATTGACTTGAGAATGGTCCAGGATGGACCGAAACGTCGTCATCCCTTCACTTTCTAGTGTGTGGTTTGGTCAACATATTTCAGCCAAGTTATTGTGACTCCTCGTCTGCATATAAGAAGTTATGTCATGGTACTGAAGAGCAGCTGCAGTCTCTCAAGACTCAGAATTTAGTATCTGAAGGCACCCAGGAGGGTCAACAATACTTATGATGATTATGGACAGCAAGGAGCACATGTGTAGAATGAGAATAATCAATAAGGCATATAAAATGAAATGTATGTATCATAGTGAGATAATTATACCCCAGATTAAAAACTTTAAAGAGGAAATTGTGTAATGAAGACTGTGTTTAGTGAACATGATCTTTAGTGCGTGTGATCTCAATTGTGTACAGTTAGGATCTTCTCTCACACATGTATACTTTAGGTGAAAATTGCTGCAGAGGTTAAGACTGAATGTACTGTAGTGAAGGTTGTGTTGTAGAGATTCTGCAAGTATGCATGTCAATCCCATTGGCTCAGCTAGTTACACTTAAATGATTATAGATAAGCGTACTTACAGGATAAGAAATATGCTTGTGGTGTCGTGCCTTCCAAATAATCTTTATCATATGACTCTTTGAAACCACTGATGGTTTTGGCATGCACCACTTTTTTAACATAATTGTTACAATTGTCTACAACTCTGTTTATAAAAAAAAAAAAAGAAAAAAAAAGAAAAGGATCGTTTATAAATTTTTTCGGCACATTTGCATGATATAAATGCATACAGCTACAGTATATATAATACACTTTATGTTGTACCTAATAGTCAAAGTTGCATAACAAGTCAAATTTCTTTCAATATGTATTGAGCTTTTTAAAAATGGTAATTCTTCGATTAATAGAAATAACCAGTTTAACCCTTAGACCGCACAAAACATACATACATGATTTGACAAAATAATTTAACATAAGCTTTTAAAATTTGCAAAAATGCCTTCCATTTTTTTTTTTGCATAATTATCTAGGCAAATGTTCCAACTCTGTCTAAATGATCACAGCATAACTTGAAAAACAAGAGAATCAAAATTAATTTTAAAATTGAATATTCAAAACTACAGATATTCAATTCAGAATAAAAAATATGAACTATCACCAATTGTTCATTTAATATAATTATTCATTCAGAATAGCATATGATCATTTTCATCAAATTAGAATATAGGTTTGCAGTACAGTTTACTGTAAAAAAAAAAAAATCATTAATAGGGCATTTGAAATATGCGGCAAATTTAGACCAACAAAATTATAACTCCAAATGTATAAATTTTACGAAAAATCTAGTCTGAAGAGATTTTAGAACAGAAAGCCGAGCACACAACATGTCAAAATAGTGAGAATCGGTCAAAAACTTTAATTTTAGAAGCCTCTCAAAGTTAAAATTCTAGTTTCAGAGATAATTGAAGTTCAAGTTATCAACAATGAATAAAGGTAGTTTTAATACGTTAATTTAATTGTATGTTTTAACAAACATTGTTTGGCATTCATACTCGAATATGTGAAAGTTGTAGGTCAATATGTGTTGAAATGAAGTCAAGAAAAATAATCCCAAAAAAAACAAAATATAGGGATAATTATAATAATTTAGGGGATATACTGTATTTAGGATACACTTTATACAAGTGAAAAAGCCCTAATGTGGTCCCTAATTATCAAAACAACCTAAAGAGACAAAGAAAATTGTTTAAAATCAGAAAAAAATCAGCCAAAAAAATTAAATGTTCCAAGTTTAGCGAGTTGTGACCGATTTATTTGTTGACCAATTTCATTCTATCTTTACATAGTTAGGGAAACATGTGCATCCTCCAGGATGTAAAGGTTACAACAAAATCAGATTATAAACAAAGGAAAAACTAAAATCTTAAGAAAAAAAAATATATATATTTTGGGACACTGATGAAAGTAACATATATTAACATTGGACAATGTATTTATATGATATATAACAAAATAGAGCATATTAACATATTTATTTATTATTATTTGTGTTGTTATGTATTACTCAGCACTGATACAAAGGCACCAACTGCATATCCACTTTGTGGACACTTCTTACTACTACTATTCTTCTTCTTTGAGGCATAGGACAGGTGCTTGCATCTCTTTATTACTCCATAATCCTTCAGTTCCAGTTAATAGGAGCTTTTCTCCTTATCAACAAAACGTTTATATTTAAAAAAAAATTGTCTAAAATCAATTTCTGAAAATATTTAGATAAAAGTTTCATGACACTGAAGCCAATAAGTTGGGGATTTGTTTAACATTTTTAAGTTATTTTTACATAATTCGAATTGTTTTCGCTACCAGGCCCCCAATATGTGCGGTCTAAGGGTTAATGAACACCTAAATACAGCATGCCTATTATTCTAAAGCTTAACCTAAAGTATGCAAAATTAGACCTAAGTAATCAATATACAAGTAATCTGTTTATTCCATTAAAAACTTATTATTTTTGCAGAAATGTATTTAACAACGATCACTGGATGTTAGGCAAAACAAACCATACCTACTAGATCTTTTAGACAGGCCATCCTGCAAGAGCAGGACTGTTTGAATCCCATCATTAATGGAGGATTTGAAGGCTAAACAATTTTTCATTCAATTAATCCAAGTGACTTTGTGCAATGGTTCGCACACACACACACACACATACACACAAATGGACTGTGCGCATAAATCTGCCTTGCTTTCAATTACCAAAGATTTAGCTATGTAAGGGAAGTTTGCTTGTTGAATTGGAGGATCAAGTCCTTGTGTTAGTGGTGTTCGTTCACTCACTCATTCGCACGCACATGCACACACACACACACGCACAAACACACACTGTGTGTGTCAGAAAGAGAGAAAGACCTGGGGGTTGATATTACACCAGACCTGTTCCCTGAAGCTCATATCAAGAGGATAACATCAGCGGCATATGCCAGGTTGGCTAACATAAGAACTGCCTTTAGAAACTTGTGTAAGGAATCTTTCAGAACATTATATACCACATATGTCAGACCAATCCTGGAGTATGCAGCTCCAGCATGAAGTCCATATCTAGTCAAGCATAAGACTAAACTGGAAAAGGTTCAAAGGTTTGCCACCAGACTAGTACCCGAGCTGAGAGGTATGAGCTACGAGGAGAGACTACGGGAAATAAACCTCACTTCATTGGAAGACAGAAGAGTTAGGGGGGACATGATCACCACATTCAAGATTCTCAAGGGAATCGATAGGGTAGATAAAGACAGGCTATTTAACACAAGGGGCACATGCACTAGGGGGGGACAGGTGGAAACTGAATGCCCAAATGAGATATTAGAAAGAACTTTTTAGTGTCAGAGTGGTTGACAAATGGAATGCATTAGGAAGTGATGTGGTGGAGGCTGACTCCATACACAGTTTCAAGTGTAGATATGATAGAGCCCAATAGGTTCAGGAACCTGTACACCTGTTGATTGACGGTTGAGAGGCGGGACCAAAGAGCCTTCGCTCAACCCCCGCAAGCACAATTAGGTGAGCACACACACACGTACACACACACGTACACACACACGTACACACACACACACACACGTACACACACACACACACATGATAGGGGGCTGGTGGTTGAGTGGACAGCGCTCTAGACTCATGGACCTAGGGACTGAGGTTAGATCCCCGCAGCCAAAGGAAACAGATGGGCAGAGTTTCCTTCACCCTGATGCTCCTGTTACCTAGCAGTAAATAGGTACTTGGGAGTTAGACAGCTGCTACACTCACAAGATGAGTGGCGCTGCCCAATAAACTCGCCCTTCGGGGCAAAATTTAAAATTTAAAAAATGCTTCTTCCTGGGGACGTGTGTGGTGGGGGGAGGAGGAGGGGAAAAATTAGTTAGTAGTTAATAACAGTTGATTGGTTGACAGTTGAGAGGTGGGCCGAAAGAGCAGAGCTCAACCCCTGCAAGCACAACTAGGTGAAAACACACACAACAAATTATGCCTCCATGCACACAAGAACAAACTAGTGCACTCACACAAGCACACACACACACACACACACACACACACACACACACACACACACACACACACACACACACACACACACACATACCCACTTGAAAATGTAAGGAGGTAATCAGTAATGAACACTTGTTAATGCTACTCTAGCCAAGTGAGATTACACTCCATAAATCTGTGTCTACTCTACATATACTTCAGTTTATACATAAAAGTGAAATCCACTAGTACAGTTGGCTAGGCTTTAATCTTCTGGCCTGTGTCAAAGAAAACAAAATTCTGACTCCAAAAAACGCAGCACTCTACATATTCGTGAATTGGGACACATTACCCTATCCAACTGTACCTATGAACTTGACCACCGTCAGCAAATACATAAGAACACTTAGTAATTTGTTTACATCGTCAGCTAGTAAGTCTGCCATTATTTGTTGAAACGTATTTATTTTCTAAATGATTCACACACTAACCGACACGAAGTACAAATATCACAAAATTAACGTTACCAATAATTACATAATAAACATGGTCAGAATCTCTCTTTATTAGGCTTTGTTGGCAATCATATTAAAAACAGTTACAGATGTTGAAAATAATTCCACATTATCAATAAAAATGTGTAGTGTCTACGATAAAGTACAGTCTTTGTATTCAGCTTCAGACATGTCATCTTAAATAACTTTCAAATTTCACACGTTTCCCTTGATAAATCACATTATAAAAATTATATAATCGGCCAATGAAAAAAAAGTGTGAAATTCGTCAAGTATATCAAAATAACATAAAATAATAGATAAAACACATGCCCCAGGAACAGATCAATGGACATAAGCACCCATAACACACAATTATAGGCTGAGTAAATCCATTTTTCAAAATATTTTGGCTCAGACAACTGCCCATTGCTGGCCTTCGAAAACACGGTAAATTACAAGACTAGCATTCATATAAAATAGCAACAAATGTGACAATTGTATGCTTACACCAACGAGCTTCACATAAGGTGGAGATATAACAACGCCACAGCTTTAAAAATCATTGGCCACCAACCGAGGCTACAAAAGCACCCACCATAAAATTATTAAATTTTCATGTTTTCCACCTTCAAATATAATCATACTTTCTGTTTTGATTAGAATTAACACATCAAAGTCATTTTGCATGCAAAAAGCTACCTATTTAAACTGTTTACATAATGTACAAAATTTTCAAAGCTGGATCTTGCTTGTCCCTACACATGGTATAGCTAGGAGATAGAGTGCTACAGGCCAGCACCAGCAACAGTTGGGAAGATCACAAGCACTCCAACTTTCACTCACTTTTTACATGGAATATATATACCACTCTCTCACATACTGGCATAGAACACTTCAGTGGAATAGTTTAAGTTAGGTTCCTGTTACTTTGTGAGCAGGCGGTTATAAAACGACCGAACTTCCATTTCAGATCACTAAATATTCAACATATAATATCTGTAGTGAAATACTGATGAAAAAAATATATAATAATTTTCACCAAACATGTACCATTTAAATGCAGGAGTATTGTCATTTGCACACAGACTGAGAATCAATACTCTCTTGTATGTAATTACGTAAGAGTAACTCCTTTTGTGTGCAACGATGCGTACACTTCTTTCCTCAAAGAATATGAGAAATAAAAGGCTATAAACATAAAAATGTCATGGTAACACTAGCACAATATTTCAGCTTGTTTCTTAATAATGAACATACAAAAAGTAAGCTAACGCTGTATTGTATTGGTAACGTCCCTTACAGTGTTCTCTATTTCCAAGAACAGTTTTTCATTGTGTTCAATTGAGCGTCCTCCAGCTGAGCGTAGCTGTCTGGTCTGTAGCTCCAGGCGAGTCAACAGTTCTCGCATATGGAACCGAGTTTGTGGTGGAATGTTATCCATATAATCTCCACATGCACGGTGGAAGGCCGACACTTTCTGTGCCGCTTGAATGCACGCAGCAACAGTCGAGGTGGAACTCTCTGATCGCAGGTTTGCTATGGAAGTCTCCACCAAATGACCATGTTCCATTAAACCAGCCTTCTCAGCACTGCTATTTGATGAACCACTCACACTGTCACTGGGAGCAGTGCCACCTGATGATGTCATACTCTGAGGAGGATTGCCAGCATGATTAACTTCCTTTAACAGCCTAATGTCTTTTATATCAGTATCTTTACCATCTTTCTTCACAGAAAGAACTGGAACTGAAGGTGGCCTAATAATTGATGGGGTAGCATATATGCCTGCTGGTTTAGGAGGCGGTGGTTTTACTCCAGCAGGAGGTGGGGGTAACTTAAAAGTCTTCACCATTGGTTTAACTGGAACTGAAGGTTTCCCATCAACAATCTTGACATCAGCTTCACCACCGCTGGTAGGAGGCCACATCCTTCTTTCTAATTTACCAACTTTTCCTTCATCTTCTGGAGTCTTGTTTGCAGGTTGAGTCTCGGTGTTTGCGTCCTTCTCGCTCTTGGTTAACTTTGGCAATTCTGGCCGCTTATATATACATGGAGCATACTTGGGACTAGTTTGGTTAGGATCAGACTTTGCTAGTTTGTCAGAATCCTGCTTTTCCCACAACTTCTTTAAACTACTTATGCTACTTGAGCTAAAACGTTTGGCCTCCTCATCTTCGCTCACTTTTAAAGAATCACTTTGAACACTGTCCCTCTTTTCACCTTGCAAACTGTCCCTCTTTTCACTTTGAATACTTATTATACTTTCACTCATAACATCGCTCTTAATTCCAGAGTCACAGCTCCATTCATTCTTACCACTGCTGTCACTCTTTTTAATCACTTCACTTAACACTTGTATACCATTTTCTTGTTGCTCCCCAGGGGAACTATCCTCCTCAGGTGACTTTGCTGCTGACTCGCCATCTTTCACCACACTGGTCTTTCTCAGCTGTGCTCGAAAATCCATCAAAGTACTATGAGGATCAATTTCTGTATTACAACAATCTTCCACACTTTTTGCTGTGTCTGTTTTCCTAAGTTGAGCTTTGAAATTAATTTTCCTCTGATCTTTCTCCGAACTATTTCTTTCAAATGGACTTTTCACTTTTTTTAAACTAGCTTTGAACCCTAATTGATTACCAGTCTCTCTTACATTAATATTTTCTGACTCACATTTAATAGAATGTTCATTATTAACTGTATTACCATTATCCAAATGAGGACTCTCACTCATTTTATTATTTTTATGACGTAAACTTTCAAACAACTCAGAGACTAGCTGCAGTGCAGGATTCTTTTGGCTACCAGGTGAAGTTTCCTCAGTAGCAACAGGATCTGGACTATGCTCTTTCTTATCATCAACCTCTTTTAATTCGGCCACTAACTTCAGTTCAAGACTTTCTTTAACTTCGTGATTGATCCCTAGTCCTAGTACTACTACCTTTGGTTCTTCTGATGAGAGCTCTTCTATGCTGCCATCACGAGAGACAAGTGAAGCAGCATCAACTGATGGAGGGCTTCCATCTACTGCAGCTGGAGAGGATGGAGTTTGTCCTCCATCTCCAATGGGGGAAGATGGAGTTTGCAAACCTTCTGTTTCAGCTGATGATGAGCCAGGACTCTTGGCAGGAACAGAGCTGGCCTTTACTTTAATTTTTGTATTGCCAAGACCAGGGCGCGGAGAAAGGTTTTCATTAGACTTGAAGCTCTCACAGGAATCAGATGACTGATCCCTGTGTCTCAAGTTCACTCCAAACCTTGATGCTGGACTACCTTCACTTGTATCCCCATCAATACTTGTATCAAGGCTTGGCTTGGCTCGCACGGGAGGCTTATCTGCATCTGTATCTCGTAGTCTTCGCCGAGTAATGCTTAAAGTTGTTCGTTCTGCTTGAGGAGACTCGGAACCTTCTGCTGCAACCTGTTGATTTTCTGATGATTGAGCTGATAACTTTTGTGGACTTACATTAGAGTAATCTGTCTTCCGCCTTGCTCTTGGTGATGGAATTGGCTTTTGTACCAAGCGTCGATGAGACTCGGGAGAGGATGTTCCTAACCAACGATCTGATCCTGGCGGAGGAGGAAAGTCAAGTGATGCACACTGAGTGTCTTCCATGAAGTCATCAGGCGGAGGAGGCAGATCTACAGGAGGAGGTGGAAATTCTAAATCAGCTAAGCTAGGTTCTTTAGTGCGTTTGTCTGTTCGGAGAGGTGGGAGACGAGGACTTAACCGTGATATCAAGGGTGACTGAGGTGGAAATCCACTTTGGGTCGAGTTACTACGAATCATGGAAGCTGAATTCTTATCTGGAGTATCTTTGTTTTCCTCCTGATCCCCTTGGTCATCCTGTTGAACATGTTCTTGCTGTTCTTCTTGTTGTTCTGATGATTGAATATGGTCATCAGAAGGAGGCACACCTTGGGAAAGACCACTCTGGCGGAGAGATTCTAGGTAAGCTCCAATTCTTGCACCTTTCGGCAAAGTGCCATATCGGTTTATGGCCCTCTTTACATTGTGAACTTCTAATGCGGCAACAGTGAGGTGTTTTCCCCCACCAATACCACTCTGACTGTCAGCCTTTTCCATTCTACCACGTCGTAATCTCTCACCGCTAATCTTAGGGTCTCGAAGTCCAACGGACGATTTTTGTCTGAAATTAAAAAACAAAACAAAAAACTAAGTATGACAAAAAAATATTATTTTCTGCAAGTAATGTATGCAGAGTGACAAAAAAATATTATTTTCTGCAGGTAATGTATGCAGAGTCGTCAACCTTCAGATGATGCATTTTAAGACATATAGGATCAATACAAAATGAAATGAAAGCCAACCAACTGCTTCCACTTTTTGGAAGGCTATACTGTAATATAAAATTAGTCATTTTAAAAAGTAAATTACATATACAAATATAAATAATCCATCCCACACCTATAAATTAAAAGGAAAGCAATGACATTTCAGTCTGCCCTCAACTTGATAAAAAGTTCAGAACAGCCAGAAACGTTGTCGCTTTCCTTTCACGTGTGTGCGCGTTTGGTTGTCTTTAGCCATGTGATTTTGAATTTTTTTCTGCATACACAAATGTACACTAAACAATTAGCATGTGATGACAAGAGAGAGAATCCTTATCACCATAGTTGTTTATCTGTCGTTAAGTAATTATTTATGAAAAGGAATAAAATTTTGGTTTAAGAATGATCAGTACTGTTTAAACTTTATCTTTGAAATTTAACCCCTAAACTTGATATAGCTAACTGCTTGCACGAGAGTACTCAAGAAAGGCATTCTTCAACACTTATCTCAGTGGATGTCATAAAAAAACACTTTTATTTGTTACCACTGAAGAGTCCTGCCACATGCACAATACTTCATTTTAATATGTGAGTACTGACAAGACAAATATCAATCACTAAAAAACTAAAAGTTTATTCTGTAAGACTGAGAAAAGTTATAACGCAAGGAGACTTTAGGGTGACACAGGATGCTGCAGGCCAAGACATCATCAAGTGATATGGTGGCAGGAGACCCAGTTGAAGTACAGTTGAAGTTGATGACTAGTCACATGTAGCATATCAAAGATTTCAGACAACATAGCGGCAAGCTTCAGTGTTGGCAGAGAAAGCTGCTTGGGAAGCACACCTCCCATGAGGTGTGGGAGACTGAAGCGGAGTCTCAATGAGAGAGGGTAAAGGTTCTCCTAGTGGCATTTCAATGCTGAATAAGAAAGGGAAGAGGTTCTCTAGTGCTACTTCAATGCTGAGTAAGAGAGGGAAGAGGTTCTCTAATGCTGCTTCAATGCTGAGTAAGAGAGAGAAGAGGTTCTCTAGTGCTGTTTTAGTGCTGAGTGAGAGAGAGAAGAGGTTCTCTAATGTAAGCAGCATTGACCTCCCGCACCACATGGGGTGGGATGCAGGAGGCCGAAAACCTCCGAAAAGATGGGACCGAAGAACCCTCGGGATCACGGAACCAAACCCAGGGAGGGTTAGACAGGGGTTGGAAGTGGAGATTTCCATCTCCAACTCATACAAGGAGGTGGAAAAGGAGAACCCCGCCCCTTGTAACACCAAGCCCCGCTCCGAGGGTACAAAAACCCAAGCGGGGTCCAATGGTACCCAAGGCCCCATGTCAACATCTCCCCCACCCTGGGAACCTCCCCACGAGGACCCGGGGTCGAGCCGTCCTCCAAACCCCCTGCCTCTAAAGAAAAGGCAAGAGCAGCCGAAATAGCAGGAACAAAAGGGGCCCATTGGTCAGACCCAGAAGCTCCGGCTGGAGGACCAGGCTCGAATGCCTCCATCGCCACACTGCAAGGGAACTTCCCTGAAACTGCAAGAGTCTCAACACCATCTGAACCCTGCCGAGACTCCGAAGCCGGAAGCAAGGAGGGGAGGACCAGGACGCACAACAGAAGGAGGTGGACAAGAAGGTGCGGACGTAACCAAAGGCGAAGTGACTAAAACCCCAAGTCCGGGTCCCTATAACTAAAGCGGAGCAGTCGCGGGGCATCTGTGGTAACAACCAACTTAGCGCGCTGTAGCAATCGAAATCGAGCATGCAACACTGAAGCTGCCTGCACCCGCACATCATGATCATCGGTCTGGGAGAACTGGAATACAAACAAGCAACAAAACTCGCAAGACTCCAGGTCGAGTGTGTCACTGACCCAACAGGCAGCATGACGACACCAGGTGTCACCCTTGTCTCAGGGTGACACCCGGTGAGTGTCACTCTGAGACAAAGGGACAAAGCAACCTTCAGACTCGCACAAAGACTTCAGACAGGGAAGATTTCCCGAGACCTGGAACTTCAAGAACAAGAGGTCATAGATTTAAACTAGCTAAACACAGATGCCGAAGAAATATAAGAAAATTCACCTTCGCAAACAGAGTGGTAGACGGTTGGAACAAGTTAAGTGGGAAGGTGGTGGAGGCCAAGACCGTCAGTAGTTTCAAAGCGTTATATGACAAAGAGTGCTGGGAAGACGGGACACCACGAGCGTAGCTCTCATCCTGTAACTACACTTAGGTAATTACAAAGCGAGAGGGTGACCCAGGGGTTGCATCCATTGGACCACAGAGCCCCAGTGGGGTTCCTCAGGGCTCCTTAGTCATGGTATTGCACTAAGGAAAGCCCAGGCAGGGTACTACTAACCGGCACACAAAACTACCAAGCGAACTGCTAAAGCTGAACCCCCCCCCCCCCCCGGGACGTGTACACTCACAGGGGCCTAGCAGAGGACCACCAAATTACAATAGAGTGTGACCAAGCAAAGACAGACCCCCCCCCCACCAGGCAGGAAAAATACTTTATAGAAAAGCTTGAGTTAATTAAATACATAAAATACAATTTTTAAATCAAATTATTTTTATTTATTAATTATTTATTATTTAAATTATTTTAAATTAAATTAATAAATTTTTTTGGGGCATGGGAAATTCAACAGGTGAGGTTCAATGACAACATTTTGGGATCATGGCAATATCTTTACATAGTGATTTAAAAATCTGGCTCCTAAGAAATACAAGCAAGAATGTTGAAGTCTTTTTACAGTTCTCCTATTAATTGTCCTTCATATAATTGCTTTAAATTAAAAAAAATTCTAACACTAATGTGGCTTTTTATACAGTATGAAAATACAAACTACTAGGGCTAGCATTTAATGGTTATCATCTGATATCACACTTTTCCATATGCTCCGACGTGACGTATACCAAGGGAGACGTTATTATCCCTTGTTTGGTGGCATTATGATTTGCTCTTGGTATGTGAGGAAAATACACACTAATAAATCCAAGCAACTTGTTACACATTTTGTGATTTATCTGAATAATGTCGTCTGGTTTAGTAGCCCCTCTGAAAAGTTGTTCAGTTGATAGGTATATCTAAAATATCACCCAATTGTTGACTCATCCACAAACTAGAAAATGAAGGGACGACGACGTTTCGGTCCGTCCTGGACCATTCTCAAGTCGAGTGTGAGAATGGTCCAGGACGGATCGAAATGTTGTCGTCCCTTCATTTTCTAGTGGGTGGATTGGTCAACATACTTCAGCCACGTTATTGTGACTCATCGCCTGCATCATCCAATTGATGGATCTGTGAAAAATTGTTTGGTTGATACGTCTATCTGAAAAGTTGTCAAGTTGATGGGTCTATCTAAAAAACTGTCCACTTCACAGGTCTATTAACACTTTAGTGCGCGCGGCACTAGCTGGAAAAAAAAGCGGATTGTGCGCGCGGCGTTCTGGGTGCTCAAGCGTAAACACAAAAAAGTTTATAATCTTTTCACGCTCCTAACATCAATTCTCGAGCTACGTTTTTCATTTTGGTATCAATGCGTTGACAATAAAAGTCTACAAGATCATATGCATAAAATGTCACCCAAGCATTTGGTATCCCACCACGAATTAAATAAACACGAAGATGACTCGCCGTGACACCCAAACAGGAAGTAAATGTTCATACTCTTTCGTTTGTTGCCAGCCTCACAGTCATCCTACAGCGCTTATTTTGATATCACTGAACTCGCAATAAAATTCCCCACCCAGACATATGCCTATCAATGTCTAATTATGTTCCGTACGAGTGTGGGAACTGGGCGAAGCGTTAGCCGTGATTTCAGCAGCGACGACACTGTTGTGATGCAGCGCTTTGAAAGTTTATACTTATTTCACTGTCCTGACATTATTTCTCGAGCAACGTATTTCATTTTCATAGCAATGTGTTCGCAATAGAAAGTTCTATAAGAACATGGGTAGAATTGGCCAACAGAGCGTCAAATAAATTTGCGGCGAATAAAATCTTACGCGAATCTTACGCGTGTTTTTACCCGTGAGCGTAAAAAGTTTTTACTTTGCTCATGTTTTATCAAGTTTATACTTGATTCATTCCGTTTTTTTTGTTTGTATAGTGTTCGGAATAAAATTCTCTACACAGACATATGCATATAAATGTAGAATCATGATCGCGGCCAACACAAGAGTGTGTGGAGTGCGCGATTACCTCTTGTGACACCAATTCAATAGTCTCTCCTCTAAGTTACAATACATTGCTGTTTTCTCAAATAGGCACAGTGCCTATTAGAGAAAACAAAAATTTAATGGCAAACATATTCATACAAACCCCAAGTCGATCGAGTAGTAAATACCCAATATAACACTGTCCGTAAATTTACGTCGTGATCCGACAAGCAGTTAGGGAAACTGCCCGTAAGTCCAAGTCGAAAATCCAGGAAAGTGTTAACCTGAATTTACCTGACGACCACTCTCTCTCTAGTGGCCTTGACGAGGACAGGAAGCTAGCAGCTTGTCAAAGGTCCCAGCATTTGTTCTGATGATTTTATCCAGCTGGATTTTGCATTGCAGCAAAATTTTGGTATTTATGGCTTGAGTGGGTAGGCAGTTCCACGGGTTTATAACCCTATGAGTGAAAAAGCATCTTCTAGTTTTCCGTTCTCCAATATGACTTTTTGAGCTTGAACCCATTGTTCCTTGTTTGTGTTACATCTGATCTTATAAAGAAGTGGTCCGGATCAATATCCTCCAAATTATTAAATACTTCACAAGTTTTGATAAGCTGTCTAGTTTATTGGGCCTGTCTGAATAGTTATCCAGTTGAGGGGTCAATCTGAAAATTATTTATACATTTAATCAAGAGATTGTGACTAATATCTGACTCTTGTTGTGTCCCATTTGCTATGCTCAGCCACACTGTGCTCACTTTTTTGCGCATAAGCTAGTCCCAGACCTTGCACATCTTTCCAATGTTATGTGACTATCTTGCTATTCAGATTTTATGTGATACAGGTACTTTTAAAGTTTTTCCATAAATCTTGGTGCATTATTTCTGAAAGGATACTGGAGTCCCTAATTCTGAAAATGTAGTTCAAGATATATACCGTTATAAATTTATTAGGTATATATATACCTTTATGTTAAGATATGTAATTGCATTTGCTTAGTAAAATACTAATTGCTCATATATAACCTACAGTATACCCTAAATTTCCTATTTACAGCATAAACAATACTCACAGACAAATTATTTTCAACTTAAGACATAAATTCACTATCTGGAAATCCAAAATTTGTTTACCGACCTAAAGGACTGAAGGTGCGGAGGGTCTGCTCTAAACGTGGAGTGAGTAGACGTAAGACCTTGTGTAGTAGGTAGAGACTGAGCGCCAGAATCCTCAGTGTCGGGTGTTCTCTCACGAAGTTCACTCTCGCTCTCTGCATCATTGCTGCTAGCCAAGTCGGCCAAGTCCTTCTGGATTCCTGGAATTCCCGTCAACATTACTCGAGTTACAAAATATTTTTTCACATAATATTAACCGTTAAATGGTTCCAGTCACTCTCTTAGTCAAATGTGCTTTCTTTGAAGGAGCCCCTTGGTGGCATCCTGTAGCTATCTTGCCGAGATTGCTCAATACTACAAATCATATCAGTTGTGGGAGTTCTGCTTGGCCTACCGGAGCCAGAAGATGGCCCCTCTCACATAGGTACAGAGAGGAATTGACATTCTGCCATTTCACTGGATAAGCATCCAGAAAGTCAGCGAAACTTTACAGACAACTGCTGGGTTTACAAGACTCAAAGCATTAAAACTTCCAAATAACTCCCCAAAGGACTTAAATGAAACAAATTAATTCACTTAAAACTAGTTTGAACCTCTTATTACCAATCTCCGCCACCAGGCAGCCGAGAGCTCAGTCCTCTGCCAGCTCGCTAGCCAGTTCTGTCGCTGATGTGTTGGCTACTGCATCACATTAGTACTCCATGGTCATTTGTGGTGGGTCTTGGTGTTTGTAAGACAAGTGCTGGCCATCCTATGACTTGTTCTGATGAGGCCATTTGCTTGTGTATTCTTCCAACATAGAATTAGCTTCATGAGTGCATTTTCTATCTTGTGTTCTTGTATGGATTCACCTTTTTCACTCTGAATTGCAAGCATCCAGAGGTTACTTCCCTGGGTGTTCATTTAGATCTGACTTTACACTGACAAAGTAACTTCTTTGGTACATTAGGGAGTTCACCTTTTTGAGACCTGGCCACCTGGGTAGTAAAGTACCTTACTTCGGGCATTACAAGAGTTGTTTGACTTCTACACACACAAATCACATTATCGTGATAAATCAATGAGAAAATCCATAGGAGCTCATTGACATATCACAATAATGTGATTTCTGTGTATTGAAAGAGGGGCATCAAAAGTAGAATTACTGGATGACAAAGCCGAAGTGCATGGGAGAATTGTGTGAAACCCTGGTTCAGCTACAGTGGAAGTCTCTCAAATCCTCAAGGGTGCAGGAGTACCCCAGGTTGCAATTCTTTTGACAATTTTGTGGAGGTTGTCGTCGTGTGCGCATCTGGGAATACCCAGCGCATAGGTTCGAATCCTCATCATGGCCCCCCTGTGCATTTTCTCATTGTTTGACTTCTGTTTAGGCATGTGGATTAGGTTGTTCAAGTAGGTTATGTTCAGGATGCACTTGGGACTCGCTCGATTTGTTTATACAACACACTGTGGTCACCATTTGCAGTCCTGCCATGGTCCACTTAGCTGTTTTTGGTTCCCATCCCTTTGGTGAGCATCTCCAGCACCCAGGAACACCTTACCTTGCAGTTATCTTGCAATGATTCGGAGGATCAACATCTCCGCAGCCTGGTCTCTGACCAGGCCTCCTGGTGGGCTCTGGTCAACCAGACTGTTTGACATGGCTGCTCACTGTTTGGTTCATCAGATATCCTTTGAAGGTGTTAATCAAGTTCTCATTTGAACACTGTAAGAGATGGGCCAGTTATGCCCCTTATGTAGAGGTAGAGTGTTGAAAAGTCTTGGGTCATTGATGTTCATAGAGTTCTCTTTCAACATACCTACTGCACCTTTACATATTCTGCACATCCTGCCATGTTGTCTGGTCTCATATGGTGTTTTTCTGTGTGCAGATTTGGAACCAGTCGTCTTAGTATTTTCCCAAATGTAAATTATTAAGTCTCCCACCTGCACTTTAAGGAATAGAGATATTAAAATTTTGAGGGGTCCCAATAATTTAAACGTTTTATTGAGTAAATTCTAGCAGGATCTAAATCTTTGCATGCTCTCCAGATCCTCAATTTCACCAGATTTAAATGGGGCTGTTAGTAACAATATTACACCCTAGAGAGCACTACTGTCTTAAAAAGTATCATTGGTATAGCATCTCTTATTTGAAAGGTCTTTGTTATCCAACCTGTCATTTTTCTTTCAGTTGTGACAGCTACTTTAATGTGTGTTTTTTAAAAGCAAGATTTTCAAACATGATTACTATAAAGTCTTTTGCACTTTTATTATAATTTTTTTTTTTTTTTTTTTAAGTGTGGTTTGACTGCATTTTGTATGTGGTTTGTTTTGATACAGTACAACCCCAGTTCTGCGAACTATATGGGACCAACCCCAATTCGGTGCAATCAGAGATGCCTCCAGGAAGGATTTCCCCCCACCATATGGAGTTATTTCACTTCACGAAATTTTCATTTCAACCTGTGATATAATAGACCAAGTGAACATATCTTGGAGGGGAAGGGGGGAGGGAACACATCTAGCTTATTTCTCACATTCCCCGCCTTAATACTCATCGTTCATTTTAGTATCAAATTGTTGGCAATAGACCAGCTCGCATTAAAAAAAAAAAAAAAAAAAAAAAAAAAAAAAAAAAAAAAAAAAATCCCATAATAATCTGACAAATGGAATTTTTATAAATATTTTAATTGTAGACAGTGTTAACGTCCTCTGCTGAACTATGTGTATTGATTTAAGGACTGCAATAACGATATCATGAAGCCAAAGTGTTAAGCATCATGTTTGCTGTGGCCCATTGCAAGGCCTAATTAATACCTGAAAATCCTAGTGTCACCTGCAAAAGATGACATGGTACTATTTTGTATCCATGTCTATGTCTGAGATGACAACCCATCCTCCTGTTTTCACAGTAAATTTTCTATGTACTTGATCATACCAATATGTAGTAATGAAGCCCCTACAAGCCACTTTATTTTGTACTTAAAAAAAAAAAAAAAAAGTCTGGGGAAAAAATACTGCTAAAAACCAAACTTAAATATTCCTTGGGCTGATATAGTTCATATGTACTATATTTGTTTAGGAGGTCCACGGTTGTTCAACATCCTCTCAGCAACTATAAGAAATATTGCCGGGACAACGGTGGACATCTTCAAGAGAAAACTAGATAATCTTTTCCAAGGAGTGCCGGACCAACCAGGCTGTGGTGGGTATGTGGGCCGCTCCAAGCAACAGCCTGGTGGACCAAACTCTCACAAGTCAAGCCTGGCCTCGGGCCAGGCTTGGGGAGTATAAAAACTCCCAGAACTCCATCAGACAGGTATCAAGCAGATATCAGGCCTCAGTTAGCATGCACACTATTAGGCCTAGGATGGTTAGGTTAGATTAAGTGTATTACCATCATAAATGTAAAACATTTCCAGTTTGTTAAAATTGAGTACTACAAATGTCTACTATCTGCTTGGCAATCACAACATACTTGTATTTTCGACTCGCATTATTACTATAATTAGTTTCATTTTAGGAGGATGAGCTTGACTTGAGGATAAGAAAAAATACTGAAGCAGGCACACTACCTTGGGGGACTCAACTTTTCATGATGGATGATCTGGATTTTTTTTTTTTTACTAATACATTCTAGGTTCTATTTGTCAGAAAATAAAAGATAAATCTTCCTACTTTGCCAGAAATTCCTATTGAGCACATTGTGTGTGCAATAACACCACAGTCACACACTTGTCAAAAGCTTTCACAAAATCTGTGTATATTACATCAGCATTTTGCTCGTCTTCCATGGCACCCAGGGCCGTGTCATAGCAGTTGTGAGAGGCAGGAGCACCCTGTTCTGAACCCGTGTTGTCCAGGGTTATGTAGATGCTGTGACTCCATATGTCTCTTGATCTTACTACTTACCACTTTTCAAAGATTTTTATGATGTGTAATGTTAGTACTATTGGTCTATAATTTTGTTTCCATTTGCTTTATTTTCATCTTTATAGAGTGGTACTATCTCTAAGTACGTCGGGGGATAACACCAGTATCTAGGCAACGTCTCCAAATAACATTAAGTGCCTGTGACAGTTTATTTTTTTTAATTCTTGATTAATATGGAATTCCAGAAGTCAAGGGCTGGTGTAGTGTGTATGTGCATACTGTCTATGACTACTTCTGAAGTCCAGTAGGGTTAGAGTTACATCTGATATATGATTTTATATTAGTATCACATTCATGAAGAATTCATTATCAATCTTCAATGTGTTTAGGGGTTCACTGAAGACAATCATACTGCATTCTCAGTATTTCACTCATTTCTTTATTGTCATCTGTGAAAGTTTCATCTCCCTTGCCCAAGGACGCAATGCTAGATGTAGCATTTGTTCCAAGTTTTGCATAGGAGAAAAAAAGTGCTTTAGCTTCTTCTCTGTATTGCTTATGGCCTTTTGCTTTGCCTCTCCTGTATTTTATATGATTCTTGTAGGTTTAGCTAGTATAATTTTTGGTCATGAAACAAAGATCTTGTGGGAAATGAACAAGCATTTTCCCACAAACCTAAAGAAATAAAATCTTGATATCACATGAAGGAAGGCAACTCATTTGCTCTGCTACCAATAGCCAAAGGAATAATGTGTGTAGCAGATCTATGAAGAATGGAGAGAGAGAAAGTGCCCTAACTAGAGAAATCAACATAAATAATAGACTAGGGAGGCTCTTAGAGTGTATGGGCAAATATTAAAGATGACACTAGCAAGCATGAAAAAGGGATAAGAAAATAGAGCAATAAGGAAAGCTTGCGAGCCACCAAAGCTGCTGAACTATACCAAGCACGTGTATGTTGCACGAGTGCTTCACATAATGCCACACCACTTTACCAGAGACCTGCTGGTTACAAAGAATGATCTGTGCCCATGTACAAAAGGGAGGTAACGATCAAACGTATATTATGCACGGCAACAGATGCCTAAATTTCTAGTCAAAGGCCCAGAGGATTGTGAATGTGGTAGTAAGACTGACCGAGCTAAGCAATGGCTGTGCATATAGAGCCACCAAGAACCCATGGTACCAAAAAGTACACACAAGCCAAACCAGAAGTATTTATATATATTTACTATCTGTATCTGCAGAATCAAGCAATCACCTCTTGAACCCCACCTTTCTAACCAATAAAGTAAGTAAATAATTATCAGAAGGCGACACCAAACCGGGAAGGCTATGTAGCACC